CTGCTGAACGCACACCAGTGTCCCGCGGTCCGCAGCCTTCGGTCGCGTCTCTGTGAGGGGACAAGGACCTCGCCCCCAAGGACCTCCGAAGAGGCGGGATTTCTCCGGGAAGGGGAAGCAGGATTTTGTTGTGTGGTTTGGAGATGAGGCAGGTATCTGGAGTGGGGTTCCTCCTGGGGCTGATGGCTCTCCCAGCGGCGCTGGGACAGAGAAGCTCGGGAAGCCCTATAAATAACACCCAACCTCAAAGTTTTGCCGTCGTCTCTTTCGAATGGGATCACGTCAAGGAGCCTTATGTCATTACACTCTGGATACTTGTAGCCAGCTTGGCCAAAATCGGTGAGTCCAAAGTTATATATTAATACATGTCCTCTCCGTTTCCCTTCCCTGTTCTCCTTCTACCACCCAACATAAATGAAGAAAGCTTATCATAAGTCCACTGACCCGTTTTCAGGGGGTTTACTGTACTGTGTCCTGATTTCATAATACTGTCCTATACTGTGCTTAGCAGTGTGATTTTCACCTGCCCCAGTGGGTTACCTAGTTCATTTTCAGTGCTTAGGACTGTGGCTTCTGCATCTGACTCCTTGCAAACCCTTGCAATTCCTTGACAACTTGCATTACTGTTGCTGCTGGGAAAAACTTTTTACAGAAGTGAAACAGAAATCGTGCCTTATTGCTTATATAATACCTATTCCAGTTTACAATATGCTATTCTCCTGATTATGATTGGTAGTTACATTAGCTAGCACCATCAAAAAAAATCCACTGTAAACTACACACATAAACTTAGTATTCTCTGCTTTGCAGTGCATTGCTGAATTTGTGAAAGAACATAGTTTATAGAGAAAGTTAATATGTATTATCAAACCATCTGATGCAACTGAAAAAATACAAGCTTTACAGCACGCAGAATTTTCTTCAAGAAATTGGAATCAGTGAAAAGCAAGGACTTAATCTAATTTCAGGTGTAGTTTAAGTGAATTTGTATGAATGCTTTAACTCTTGTGTTCTGAACTTTGTGACTTTTCCAAAAGCAATCTTATATTAATAACACTGATTGCTGAACTAGAAGAGTAACTGTTTAATTGGAATGTATTTTACTTGCTTGATGCTATTATTTTCAGTCCTTTTACCTTTGGATCTAAAACCAGACCTCCCGTTTGGCTGATGTTCAAAATGTCATTTTCAATTTTCAATAAATCATCTGTAAAATCAGTCTCAACTTGGAAGGTATGATCAGCTGAACATCCTACTAATACTTTTCTGCACTTGTACTGTTAATATTAATTTGGGATACCAGAATCACATTCCATGGATTTTTGCATGTCACAGAGAATGCAAGATGTAAAAAGGTGTACTTAGGTATATCCTGTCTAGCATATAAGCTAAACACTGTAAGATTTGGGTGGAAAATGCTGTCTCCAAATCCAAACAAAACATTTTAAAAATGAGGAGTAAGTTTTGTAGAGGTGATATTGTAAAGCATTTTTCAGTGATACCTGCATCTTCAGTTTCACTTGCCTAACCATAGATATATAACTAAATATCTTTATCTGAATCACTGTTGGACTACACCTTGCAAATACTTTGTGTTCAGATGGTTGCTGCATTACCTAGATTACTTAAAAATGCAGTTTTGTTTTAATTGATTTTTGTTGATGGGCTATGCCAAGTAGAAAGCTGGGGAAACCAGACACAGGAAAAAACAGTGACAACGTTGACCCACTATAAAATTGTGCTACCTAAACTAATACACAGGCTGCTCATTTGGACCTTCTCTTTGAGGTATTCTGCTAAGTATTTGCCCTCTGTTATTAAGGCTTTGCTGCTTTGTATATGTGCCACAGTTGTACAGAGTAATATTAGCGCTGCACAGCCATATGAGTGCTATGTTAGAAACCCAATTGAGCTAATAGGACAGTTAGATTGTCCTATATTTAAATTGATATGGCCTGCATTAAGATTAGCTTGGATTAAGACAAGCCATTATACCATGAAGTCCTCAGTATAAACTCTTGATAAAGCACTAATTGTCCCTGGAGTTGAGGACCTGAATATTGCTGGTTCTGTTTTTAAATTCTTTGCACTTTTTTCACAGCTGCATAGAGTATGTCACTTACTGGTAGATAGTATCTATCATCAACTCCACCATTTTTCTTCCCAAAAGCTCTCAAACTTCATCCTTTTCTCTCTTCACATGTGTAGTTGTAGTGCCATACTGCTCTAGACATTGTCTATGAAGAAGCAATGCACAACTGCTGTATTCCAGTATGAACCTATGAATGCTCCTGCTTTTCCCACTGATCACAAATAAAATATAGAAAAGCAGAAATGTACATTCACTGTTCAACAGCTTATTAATGAAGAAAATGTGAAAGTGTTCATATAAGCCAATGAGAAAGGGAACTGAAAAAAACCCTAGCTTGCCAACCTTCTATCTGCCTTGGTGTGTCAAGGGTTCTGGAAAGTAGACCAGAAATCTATCAGAAGATTTTGAATGGAAAAAATGTTATGCTGGATCAAAGAAGTCTTATACATTCAAAAAGCAGACAGAAAATAAATGAGGAAGCAAATATAGGACATCTGCCCTTGTGTCTCTTGCTTTAGTACCTGAAGGAGAGCAAAGGTAGTGGAGCCAAAATGCTGGGTTTACCCTGGGTTTTTCAGCAGGGTTGGAGCTGTTCTTAGACATGCAAGCTCACTTCTCCATAGCTACAGAGGTTGGGAGAAGTATTTTACTGGTGGATGATAGGCAATTGGGTCAGCAAAAAGTGTTCTGGGAATTGCAATTGGTAGCTGGGGATGAAAAGTGTATGAGAATACTTTGCCTTCTCTTGCATTAGAATAACTTTAGGGTTTGGTGGTTTCTTTTGTTTGTTGTTTTTTTTTTCGCCCCCCCCCCCCCCCCCCACAAAGTTTCAGTTCATGATGTTATATGGCTTGGGAAACATGTATAAACATGTATTTAACAGGAGATTCTTGTGGATTTTCTGGCACTTGATGTTCACGTTGTGTACATTCAAAATGTAAATTGGTGCTGACAAGGTATTCTGCAAGATAAACTATTGTATGTGAAATCTTGTAAATATCCCAAATACATAAAGTAGTGCCTAGTGTTTTGGGCTTTGTGGGAAGGAAGCTTCTATTTTATTTTATTTTTTTAATGTGAAGAATACTTATAACTCTTGGGGAAGTCTAAGTATTGCTACAAATGAAACTATGCAAGAACAGTCTTCATACACTTGGCTTTCGTGCACTATAGGAAATAAATTAATTTTTGTCTACTATGAAACTTGTGACGCATCTCAGTGTACTGTTTTACATTCTATAATTGATTTGATTTGACTCTCTTCATTTGAAATGTTCCAACTCTTCATTCTAAGGTACACAGTGTTCCACTTTGGCTAATGATCTTTATTTCCTCTTTTGATAGGCTCTCTTATCACTACAAATGAGTATCCTTATGGGATAAGGCCAATAAACTACTTATATGTGTAAAACTAAGCCAGAAAAACATCTTATCTACATGAAGAAGGTACATGAGGTACAGCTGAGGACCCTGCTAGTAGACTTCAGGTGTCCACTTCCTGGTACCTCAGTTCTCCAGATGAAACAAGCAATACCAATGGAAAAAAAAAAAAGAAACAAAACACAAATATATACATGTGTATATATGCAGTCATAGTTATAGACTAGGGCGTTTCCTACTGTAACTCTGTTGATAAAGGATGTAATATTTTTAGTCAATATACTTGCACAGTGTAGTTCTCATTTAAGATTAAAGACACAAGCACATTGACCAGCCTTGCACATGCTTTCTAAGTTCACTTTGTCATGTGCTCTCCTCCTTCTTTATACATCTTTGATAGATCACATCTTGAAAATAACCTTATAATGAACAGACATGCAGAAGATACAAACAGTGGCAGGAAAGTCTGCTACAGAAAAAGCCAGACATAGGAGGGAGATCAGAAAACATCTTTGGAAACAAGTAGAAGGAAAGGAATAATCAGCTCAGGAGCTAAAAATGGGCAAGAGAAGAAACAGTTTAAACTCTGAATATTGTATACCATTTTTTTCTGAGGACATTTCTGAGGCCATGCCTATTGCAAAAAAAAAAAAAAAAAAAAAAAAAGTATGCTTTTTACTTGGGTTATATCCACTATACGCCTCTACACTTGTTCAAAATCCTAGGAGACAGAGAGATATTGTATTTGTATTTTCATTGGAGGTTATGTTGGGGAACCCATAAAATTCTTACTTATGGTTTAAATCCCTTTGTGTACAATAACATTTCTCAGAAGGATAGTTAATTGCTTGTCCCAAAATAGAATAAATACCCCTACAAAGCAGTCTTTCTGTCTGTTTAGCCCCCGAACTTGCTCGATGTGGAGCAGATAAGGAACTGTAAGAAACAGTGGGAGAATGAGTGACTATGAGCAAGAATGAGGAAGGGTACATAGCCTTTTCATTATCTGTGAGTCAAACCTCTTGCCAACTCTTTTTGTTGGTAAGGTTTATGCTGAGTCTAAGAATGTCACAAAAGCCCTTTTTTTTTTTTTTTTTTTTTTAAATGTCTGTGTAGTTGCACACAAATTCTAAAGGCTTTTATATTAGAAATTTAAAAGTGAAATCTGAATCCAGGGCAGCTGGTAAATCCATCTTCAGCAATGCCACAATTCTTTGGAGGAAGGGGAAGAAGGGATTCAGTGAGCACACATTTAGGAGAAGGCTGGCCTAGTGATATCTCAAAAAGATACTGTGTCAGATGGACTCGTTGAGTCCATCAGCTCTTGAGACCCCAGGAGAACATGAGCTGCAAAGCACACTGTATCTCTAAGCTTACAGAGATATGGCTTCCTACAAATGCTCTAGCTTCTGCAAGCCCAAGCCCCTTCCTATTGTCTCAAACTGCTCTGAGAAAGGAGCTCTTCAGAGTATTTTGTTAACACGAACAATTACTGTGGAGAATTTTAAGCATGTTAGGGATGGGCTAGAGAAGGAACTGTGAAATGCAGGTCTAACAACCCATCCGATTTAGACTCCTGGGGCAATATTTTCTTTGAAGAAATCAATACCCCTCCCTCCAAAGCAAACTGTCAAAACAAAAGTACATTTGTCTCCCAAGTTTCTCCTTCTGGCATTTTAGCACCAGTGAAAAGTGTCAATTACCTAGAGGAAGTGATTTAGAGTATTGTTTTAATAAAAGTAAAAAATGTGAGAATAGGTCTTCCGTTGGCAATTCTTCAGTAAATAACGTCTTCAAGAAGAAATATTGAAGGATGCTTAGCAAAACCTTATTGCTTATCATTCAGAAGTGTTTAACTGAAAATGGA